ATCTCAGCTCACTGCAAGCTCCACCTCCCGGGTTCACGCCATTCTCCTGCCTCAGCCTCCCGAGTAGCTGGGACTACAGGCGCCCACCACCTCGCCCGGCTAGTTTTTTGTATTTTTTAATGGAGACGGGGTTTCACCATGTTAGCCCATGTTGGGATGGTCTCGATTTCCTGACCTCGTGATCCGCCCGTCTCGGCCTCGCAAAGTGCTGGGATTACAGGCTTGAGCCACCGCGCCCGGCCGCAATGAGAATTTTTTAACAACATTGCATTAAATCTGTAGATTACTTTGAGAAGTATGGACGTTTTCAAAATATCAATGATTTCTACCTTTGAACAGGAGCATGCTCAAGAGTGTGTCGTTTAATTTCCATGTATTTGTAAATTTTTAATATTTTTCTATTATTGTTTTATACTCTCATTCCATTTTGTTCATATAATATAATCCACACAATTTCAGTCTTAACAAATGTGTTAAGACTTCTTTTTTGGCCTACCATGTGGTCTATTAAGCAGAATGTTCTATGAGCAATTAAGAAGCATGTGTATCCCGATATTGTTGAGGAGACTTCTCTATACCTCTGTTAGAAATAATAGTTTTATACTGCCTTCAGTCCTCTCTTCACTTACAAATATTCTGTTTTGTTTTATTTTTATTATGGAAAGTAAGTTATTGAAATGTTCTACTATAATATTGCTTTCTAGGTGATTCTTCCATTCTGTCAATATTTGCTTTATGTATTTGGAACCTTAATGTGAGATACACACACACACACACACACACACACACACACACTTGAGTTACGTTATCAGTAAATGAATCTATTATTGTTTAATGTCCTTCTTTGTCTCTTTGCAGTTTTGATTTGTAGTACATTTTATAAATATGAAAGTTTTTCACTTAAGATGTACCTTATGTAATATTATTTTGACCTCTTCTCTCATTTGGTTAATATTTTTATGCAAAATCTATATCCATCTTGCCACTTTGTTTTTTTTTTTTATCAATAGATCTCAGCTTACTCTCATAGAAAGGCAAGTTGGATATCGGTTTTTAAAATATTTAAATAAATCTCTATTGAGAGTATGTCTGTTGATTGAAAAGTTAAAGATATATATTTAAATAATCTTCTGAAGCAGAAAGACATAATAATGTTATTTTATTCATTGCTTTATTTGATTCTTATATCTTGGTCACTCATTTTCTCTCTGTCTTTGTGTCTTTTTATTTTTATATTGATATGCTTTTACTTCTTTCTTATTTTGTTTCATTTATCTATACGCATATGTTCTTCTTGGGACCTTGGGGATTATATAAACCTCCAAAAGATACAACAGTATATTTCAATCTGGTAAAAAGGAACTTCAGTTGCATGCACAATTTTTTTCTCATTACATCTCCCCTCAAATTTGTCATTGATTTTGCTAATTGTATCTTTTTATGTGGTGTATTTATTAACAGATGTTTATAATGATTTCTGTGATTTTCTCTTTCAAATTTTAGGGAATAATTAAAAATGTTTTCTGCACCATTATGATAATGCTAAGAAATTCCATTTTGGTGTATGTGCATATACTTAGAAGTAAAAGTATATATGTGCATATAATCTTTCCAGAAAGTAATGTAATTTTTTGTTATTGTGGGGTTTTTTGTGTTTGTTTTGTTTTTATTTCATTTTTTCTTTTATTATTATATTTTTAAGTTCTAAGGTACATATGCACAATGTGCGGGTTTGTTACATATGTATACATGTGCCTTGTTAGTGTGCTGCACCCATTAACTCATCATTTATATTAGGTATTTCTACTAACACTATCCCTCCCCACTCCCAAAAGTAATGTATTTTTATTTGACTATGTGTTGTTTTTGTTGAATCATGTTATTTTCAATAGAAGCAACTGCTTTCAATACTTTTTATATGTAAAGTTTATGGAGTTCCAATATACTTTTCAGAATTTTGTTATTTTTGAAAGTTTTTTTCTTTTTATTTGGCAGGACAGATTTGCTGATGGTATTATGCTTACTTGATCACTGTACTTTTCAAGAGTTTGACTTTATCACACACTTCCCTTCTGGCCTGCAAAATTTTTGTTGACAATTCACTGGCTGTCTCATAAGACTGCTTGCAAATGACGCATCACTTTTATCTTGCAGCTCCCAAGATTCTCTTCTGGTCTGTGACTTTTGAAATTGTGCTTATATGTGTGTTTGTTATAAATATCTTTGTGTGTTTCCTAGTTTGTTTGTTGAGCTTCTTCATTTGTACATCATTGTTTCTTTCAAGATTTTTCAGCTATTCTTTTTTATATTTATTGCTTCCACAATTTCTGTTTTTTTGATATTCTAAATATTTATGTTCTTCATTTTTCTGATTTTCTATAGTTCTCTGTCTTCCTATTTCACTTATTGAGTATTATTCAATTTATTTTCAATTTTTAAAATCAATGCACATTCTTTTTTTATGGTTTCTTTTTGAAAATTATATTTTTATGGAACCATATTGCCTTATTTTGTATACATTTTAATCTTTGATTGAAATTTGGACATTAAAAAAGGCTACCCGTTACAATCTTCATAATGTAGCTTTGTCCTGGCATGGTCTGAACAATTGTCTTGGTTAGAGATTCTGGGAGTCTCTCAAACATGTTCTTAGAATGTGTCTTGTCTGAAATTTTGTATTATTTTTTAGTTAAAGGAGTTTATTCATGTTTCTTCTTAATAGTAATCACGTGTTATGCCTGTTTTCTCTCTGTGGTACAGCAGTCTCTCTGTTGCTGAAACATTTACCTTTGGTCTCAGCAAACTTAAACTGTCACTCCAAAGCATACCACCATTTCTTTCAGCACTATATTTCGTGAGAGATACACACCAGTGTCCGGAAAGGCTCCTAGAAGCAAGTAATAAAGATAAATGTGCCAGTGTTTTACTTGTCATTACAAAGTTGGCAATTTGCTTCTAAAGACACTATGTTATATTGGGGAGCAGGAAGAGCTGTGTTGGGTAAATGTAACAGATTTTGACTTCTAAGTGGCTCTTTGCATTGTTCTCACCAGGGCACTTCACACACTTAACTCATTTATAAATTTTTTTCAGATGTAATTTGGTTGGTATGTTTTTTTTTTTTTTTTTTTTTTTACATTTATATGTCTATAAAGGAATGAGGGCCTTTGGTATTTTCGTATGCCATCTTATTTATATAGTTTGTATAGTATTATAGGTTAGACTTGTAAACTGTATTTATCTGTGTCTAGTAGGTAATTTGGTATTTTTATCTCTTTCAGTTATATGTTCTCATTTTGCCCAAGACCTTTGGCCAGAGTGGGACATTAAAGATTCTTTTCAAGAATCGATACTGAAAAAATATAGAAATTATGAACATGACAATTTACAGTTACAAAAAGGCTGTAAAAGTGTGGATGAGTGTGAGGTGCACAAAGAAGATAACAAATTAAACCAGTGTTTGATAACTACCCAGAGAAACATATTTCAATGTGACCCATATGCAGAAGTCTTTCATACATTTTCAAATTCAAACAGACATAAGACAACACAACCTGGAAAGAAACCTTTCAAATGTAAAAAATGTGAGAAATCATTTTGCATGCTCTTACACCTAAGTCAACATAAAAGATTTCATATTACAGAGAATTCCTACCAATGTAAAGATTGTGGCAAAGCCTTCAACTGGTTCTCAACCCTTACTACACACAGGAGAATTCATACCGGAGAGAAACCCTACAAATGTGAAGAATGTGGGAAAGCATTTAACCGGTCCTCACACCTTACTACACATAAGATAATTCATACTGGAGAGAAACCATACAGATGTGAAGAATGTGGCAAAGCCTTTAACCGGTCTTCACACCTCACTACACATAAAAGAATTCATACTGGAGTGAAACCCTACAAATGTACAGAATGTGGCAAAGCTTTTAACCGGTCCTCACACCTTACTACACACAGGATAATTCATACTGGAGAGAAACCCTACAAATGTGAAGAATGTGGCAAAGCTTTTAACCAATCCTCAACCCTAACTACACATAAGATAACTCATGCTGGAGAGAAACCCTACAAATGTGAAGAATGTGGCAAAGCTTTTTACCAATACTCAAACCTTACTCAACATAAGATAATTCATACTGGAGAGAAACCCTACAAATGTGAAGAATGTGGCAAAGCTTTTTACCGATTCTCATACCTTACTACACATAAGATAAGTCATACTGGAGAGAAATTCTACAAATGTGAAGAATGTGGCAAAGGCTTTAACTGGTCCTCAGCCCTCACTAAACACAAGAGAATTCATACTGGAGAGAAACCCTATAAATGTGAAGAATGTGGCAAAGCCTTTAATGAGTCCTCAAACCTTACTACGCATAAGATGATTCATACTGGAGAGAAACCCTACAAATGTGAAGAATGTGGCAAAGCTTTTAACCGGTCCTCACAACTAACTGTACATAAGATGATTCACACTGGAGAGAAACCTTACAAATGTGAAGAATGTGGCAAAGCCTTTAACCGGTGCTCACAACTAACTGCACATAAGATGATTCATACTGGAGAGAAGCCCTACAAATGTGAGGAATGTGGCAAAGCTTTTAACCGATCCTCAAACCTTAGTAAACATAAGATAACTCATACTGGAGAGAGATCTTACAGATGGGAAGAATGTGGTAAAGCCTTTAACCAGTCCCTGAGCCTTATTAAACAAAATAACTCATACTGGAGAGAAACCCTACAAATGTGAAGAATGTGGCAAAGCCTTTAGTCCTAAACTCTTACTAAACATAAAAAAATTCATACTGGAGTGTGGAGAACATGGCAAAGCCTTTAATAAGTTCTCAATTCCTAACAGACGTAAGATAATTCATACTAGAGATAATTCATACTAGAGAGAAATTCTACAAACCAGAAAGATGTGACAGTACTTTGAAAACACCTCAAACTTTTCTAAACATAAAGGAAATCACAGTGGTGAGAAATCCTAGAAATGTGAAGAATTTGATAAAGCTTTTAAATGGTTGTCACACTCGATTGTAGGTAAGATAATTTATACTGGAGAAAACTTCTACATGTGTGAACAATGTGGCAAAACTTTTAACCAATGCTCACACCTTACTGCATAGGAAAGCATTTATACTTGAGAAAGATTGTACAAATATAAAGACTGTGAAAAAGCCATTAATACATGCTCACATCTTACTCAACATCAGAGAGTTCCTACTTAATAAAAACATTATAAGGCCAACTACTGTCAAAATATCTTTAAGAAAATATAAGCCTTTAAGGTGAAGAGTATTTTGAAGAAGAACATTGTAGTAGGACTGTAATATGTTTACTTGTATCAGAGATCTTACTGTACACATTTTGTATTAGAGGAAACCTCTGAAGCAGTTGCTCAAACTTTGTTCAGTATCAGGGAATTTATATTGAAAAAAAACCCTTGCAAATGTAATACATTTGGAAAAATACTTTTTCAAAAACTACAGCTTAGAAAACACGAGAGAGTTCATACTAAAACATATTTTTGCAGATACAATAAAAATTTTTTAAATTTTTAATCAAAAATTAAATCTATGTAAATATCAGAATTTACAGTAGAAATATATAAGGCAGCTGTTTCTTCATTCCTATTTACATGTGAAAGCATGTGATCAATTGTTGCTGCATCAAAGATATGAGATTCTTTTTTATTAGGTGAGCATTATTTATAAACTTTGTTATGAAAAAGTAAGGACATTAAAATGTAAGATGTATGATGAAAATCGTACAAAAGTAAAGAGACTTTTGTGGTTAACTTATAATATTGAGTAATGTGTGCGTTAGGTGTTCAGAGTAATGTTCTGCATTATGAGAAGAAAACATTTTAAATTTCATTTACAAGTAAATTAAAATTTAGTATATTGTACTAATTATACTTTTATATAAAGTGCAGTGTATTTTTTTAAATTTCAGATTATATGTGATGTTAATATATTCAACCTTTTTAACATGTTAAATACTATTGTGCATTCAATGAAGTGTTATTATGTCACAAACCTTAACCTATTCCTCCTTACTCAAGGGTGCACATAAAACATGGTAACAATATATATACTGTTTGGTAACATAATGGATTAACATCTCTAGTAATCTCTTTTGCCAGTGGCTTTGACTACAAATAAGTTAAAGAATATTACTTCTGTAGGTTAAAATTTTATTTTTATTTTATTTATTTATTTTTTTTGAGAGGGAGTCTTGCTCTGTCGTCCAGGCTGGAGTGCAGTGGCGTGGTCTTGGCTCACTGCAACCTCTGCCTCCTGGGTTCAAGCAATTCTACCTCAGCCTCCCAGTAGCTGGGATTACAGGTGCCCACCACCATGCCCAGCTAATTTTTGTATTTTAGTAGAGACGGGGTTTCATAATGTAAGTCAAGCTGGTCTCGAACTTCTGACCTCAAATGATCCCCCCACCTCGGCTTCCCAAAGTTCTGGGATTACAGGCATGAGCCACTGTGCCCAGCCAAATGTTTATTTTATTTAAATTTATTTTTCTTATTTGGGGTATATAATATGAGTATATATTCATGCAATATATGGCATATTTTGATACAAGAATATAGTATATAATAATCACATCAGGGTAAATGAGGTATCCATCACCTCTAGTGTTTTTCTTTTGTATTACAAACAATCCACTTTTATACTTTTAGTTATTTTAACATGTACAATTGTTATTGATTACAGTGTTATTTTTATGGTCATAATAAATTATGTAGAAGTATAAATAAAATCCATGCATTTCTGGGTCCTGAATAAATATTTTTAAAGTTTTCTAATATTTATTTTTTGAGCATGTTTCCTGTCTGCCTGCAAACACATGCAGACTTTTAGTTTTCATTTACGTAGAGTTAAATATATGTTAGTCTAAAGATAAACCTTAGGTGTAAGAAAATTATAGAGTGAGTTTGTGTGTATGAATTTATACCTGTTTTCAGAAGACAAAAGCAATGTTGAACAAAAAAATCATTTTAACAAGATGACTACTAGAAAACTAAAAACCTCAAAAATGCTGAAAGCAAATGTATTCTCTGCTTTGTATTGAATTTATTACTGTACAATCTATGGCTAATAGTTCTGAATCTCCCCATGAAAATTCTGTTTATGCGGCCGGGCGCGGTGGCTCAAGCCTGTAATCCCAGCACTTTGGGAGGCCGAGACGGGCGGATCACGAGGTCAGGAGATCGAGACCATCCTGGTTAATAC